GACTTCAGCTTGTTGAGACCACATGTGAGTGGCACTGCTCTAGGGTTTGCTGGCTGCAGCTTCAGTAGAGCGGTTTGCCAGGTCTTTCTTCCTGGGAGCCCCTGGGTGTGTTTGAGCCACCAATTTCTCAGTTATCAGCCAGATGCTTAACTGCTACCAGGGCCCCTTTGCATCCATTAAAGACATGACCTTAAATAACATCTAGTTAGGCTGAGTGTTGTGCCACCGGGGTTTTTTATACTTCCTTAATTCTTAGGTATGATTTAAGTAGGGATCAATTTTTTCTTTTACTGATTGCCCTATACATTTTCCAATTGCATGAATTGTATCTGATTGAATTGGAAGTCAGCTGGAAGCTCTAATCAATTGATGTCTGATGCCTGGCATGTATGAAGGAACATCAAAAGTTCACAGCAATATGTAATTAAAAGAGAGTAGATTTTTTTCATGACCGTTTAGAAGCCTCCTTGTATTCTTGCATGTAAGGTAGGCCACGGGACCACTTTCTGCTTCATTTATTAAGCAGTCTAGCTTTCCCACTGATCTGCACTGTCGGCCCTGCCACAGGTCAAGTTCCATATGTGCAGCATTCAGTTGATACACTCTCTTTATCTATTCCTGTGCCACTAATAATGGGCTTTTAGCAGGGCATGACCACCAAACTAGAGAATATATTTTTCTGGTTCTTTCTCTCCTACCAGGTGCTGGAATAGATATTGTACGTGGCCCAGTTTTATCGATCCAGAGAAGCCTAACAATAGGGATAAGGGAACGACACATAAAAAGAACCTGTTTCTCAATTACCATGGTAATCAGAGCCACCCTACCAGGTAAAACTCCTTGCTTATTATATAATATGAGGGGTGTTCAAAATGTTCGTGGTCAAATGAAATTAAACCATAACGGCGTTTTCCCACAAACCCTTGGAAACCCCCTTGTAAAAAAACTCTTATGTTATTTAAACCACCATCACTTTGGCTTCCTTAACCTCTATCTAACAAACAGATAAAGAGGGTATCCTCACATAAACTGTAATATTAATGATTAATTAATATGTGTGAGGAGTCCTGGTGGCAGAGCAGTTATACAATAGGCTCTTTTATTATTAACTTATTTCCGAGTAAAAAATGTTTTAATTGGTCAATTCA